TTTAAGGCCGATACCGATAGGGGGCCGATTATATCGTGCATCCCTAGTTAGTTTGTAAATTAAATATTTAGTTTGGTAAATAAATACTTAGCTCAAACTAAATATTTAGTTCCAAACTGAATATTTATTTAACAAAGTAAGATTTTTTATAAATGAATGAATGAAACAGTGAAAAAATGACTTGGAAAAAAATGAAGCTCTCTTAAAACACTAAATAACCATAAATATTGCTCCTAATTTTTCAGCTGCTTAACTTTACAAACGGCGCCCTATAGTTAAGTAGCTTTACATAAATGTCGTTATGCAAAATGAACTGTCAAAAATGAACTTTCCTCCTTTAACCGACGTCTGAAGAAGATGCAGAACCTTAAAGCAAATAAATTGTCCGATTTATTGGAAGAATTTCTTCTTAATTATTTATTTCAGTGTTTATTTTTTCCTCTTTCTCTTCCTTGTTCTAGCCTGTATTTTTTTTATTGGAGTTAATAGGAGTTTTGATCTTATTTGTTTCTTGTAATGTTCAATATTGACGTATTGCTGAATTTCTCATTAATATTCTGTATTTCTCAATAATAATAAAAAAAAGTTAAGTAGCTTAATTCTTTAGCAGCAGATTGGAATGTTCTCCCTGCATGTTTTTCATATAGTTAATTACATAGAGTTTTGATTAAATTTAAAGCAATAAATCCACATTACTATAAGAGTTTTTCTTGCCATAAACCTGCAGAACTGTGAGGAACTCAGTGGTTCTTCATGCCCTCTATGCAGAGGCAGGAACCTTTAGTGGAACTCTGTGAGCAAACATGTTGGAAACCTGTGGTCCTGCAGGGTGGGTTACCTTCCACAGAGCTGTTCAGCACGTTTCCCCAGCGAGCATAGTGGATGGAGCCCCCCCCTGCCCAGGGGAAGCAGATGAGGCGGGTCACAGCTTCTGGCCTCCTCCTGAAGCAGCTGATCACCTTCTCCATCCTGAGTCTCCAGCTGCTCCTCTGCACTGAAGGAGCAACCCCTCCTGCAACATTTCCTGCTTCCTTTCTTCTGTGGTTCAGGAACACAGTGGAATCCTCTCACAGGGTTCTGGCGACATCTACAGCCTGGAATGTGTCACTACATCCAGAATTTCCTCTTCTTTTAATGTTAAGAATTGTGGCTTTTGTACAACTCAATTGGAAACAACTAAACATCTTTTTTATGAATGTAAAGAAGTATTAAACTTATGGGATCAA